CTCTTTCCCTATCTCCTATTTCTTCTCCTTCCTACATACATAAATAACATAAATATAGGTAACTCCTTTCCCTATCTCCCGTTACGTTTCTTCTCCCTCCTATTTACATGAAAAATATAAATACATGTAACCCCTCTTTTTCTTCCTATTCTTGCGCCAAGTGTCCCACTATATTAATAACTATCTCTTCTCTCTCTTATCTCTCTCATGCCTATACATATATTTACGTCTCATAACTCTCTCTTCTCTCTCTTCTCTCTCTCTCATACCTATGCATATATTTACGTCCCACGTTTCTCTTCCTCTCCCACCTTTTTTTCTCTCACTATGAAACATGCAATTAATATAATTTACTCTCTTTCCCTATTTCCTCCCACATTTCTCCTCTCTCCTACATGCATGAATAACATAAATATAGGTAACTCATTCTTGCCCTATCTCCCCTTACGTTTATTTTCTCTCCTATTTGCATGAAAAATATAATACATATAGCCCCTCTTTCCTAAAAATTAAATTTCTTTAAATATCTCTCCAATACCCTCTCTCTCTCTTTTTCAAATTGGTTTACTCTGCAGCGGCGAATGCTAGTCACAATATAGGTTTGAATGAAGCTAATTCATTCATTAATAAAGCGGAAGTCCATGGAGGTGCCATGATGAAAAAGTTCAAACCTCAAGCTAAGGGGCGCAGTTATCCGATAAAAAGGCCCACTTGTCATATAACGATTGTTTAAAAGAAAAAAAAATCCCCTTGTAGTTTGAATTTGACAGATCAAGCCTTACAAAAAGAAGTCTTACCTTAACTGAATACTGAAATAAAGAAAATCAAATAAAATTTATATATATATATATATATATATAAATAAAAAAAGAAAATAAAAAATTATATGGTATAGAGATGACACAGAAAATAAATCCACTTGGTTTCAGACTTGGCATACCCCAAAGTCACCGTTCCCTTTGGTTGTGTATATTTCTCTCTCCCTCTATTCTTTCCTAAAATCTCTTCCCTATAATTAAATCTGTCTCTTTCTTTAAATATATCAAGCATAAACCAAATCAAAGGCATGCAGATGCAAATCACACTGACTTCATTAAGGCAAGTAATAGTCTCTTTTGTCTTTTTCTTAAGGAATTTCATATTTGTTAATCAATACTTAGGAAATTTTACATTTGCTAATCAATTTTATAAAGCATTACCTAATCAATTCTTAGGGAATTTCATACTTGCTATAGAATGTGTATTTATGGTTTATGATTTTTTGATGAAGTGGTGTTCAATTTAATATAAATATTTAATTGTGTATTTATGATTGTTGCATTTCTATGCATTTCTTTATTGTTTTTTTCTTACATTTTCGATCATTTCCTTCATGTTCTCATTAGTTCCTATGTGGAATTGATTTTTATTTTTGTTTGTTTTTGTAGATCTTTAAGTGATCTATAGAAGCTCTAGCATGATTCGTTTATCGAGGCTTTGCATATCAAGTACTTCGAGATGTTCTCAACGGATCTACTGTGAAAACATAATTTTAGGCTTTCAAGATAAGTAATATTTTATTTTCTCTACTTTTTTATGCATTTTTTTATTGCTTTTGCCTACATTTCGGTCCTTTATATCGTATTCTCCTTAGTTTCAATGTGGAGTTGATTTCTTTTTTTTTTAGGATTATTATGTGAAGTTGAGTTATTTTTATTTGTTTTTTAGTGATCTACATAAGTCCTAACATGATTTGTTGATTGAAGCTATGTAGATCAAGGTGTTTGATATGATTTGGTTAATATTCAATATTGCTGAATTTTTTATCTATTCTCAGTCATTTCTTTTGATGTGTCTCATTTTGTAAATAAATCTCCGATGTAATGAAATCCTAATTGCATTTCTTGATTGGAGCTCTACAAAATATCATTTTGGTTATCATTTTATTGGATGTAAAGACACATCTTTTTATGAAATAATTGAATCGAATTCCGACAAATAAAGAATATTATTGTATGACTATTCATTAGATAATTAAAAAATGGTGTGGTTTGTATAGAGCCTAGGCTCTAAACAATCAAATTAGAGCCTACCTTCAAATAGTGTCGAGAAATGTGGCTTTAATATTGGAAATCTTTGTTATAGCCTTAAAATAGATTTCATCTTTATCTATAAAGTTTAAAGCTTCAAAAATAGTGCAGATCGACATATCTATAAAAACTTGAAAATATTGAAAATTGATGGTTAAAAAATGTATTACAAAATACACTATTTTCAAAACTTGAAATTTATTTATTTTCTTATGTCCATGCATCTTGATATCGAGATGTTCAATTTGAGGATATTGGGGCTATCAAAACAACCTCTTCTAGTGAATTTTTTGAGGTAGGTCTCTAATTTGATTGTTTAGAGCGTCGGCTCTATCTAATCTTTACCTTTTAAAACAATTATAATTATTGAGTTAGTTACAATACA